AGAAACACTTATGAGCCCCCGGGAAGTCTCACAGCATGGCAGGTGCGTCCCACCTCGATGCCCCCAGCCCATGTTGGCTTTCTCCACCGAGAGCTGGGCTTGGGGGCAGCTTTCCCAGTGTCTGGAAGGGTTTGCTAGCTCCTGCCGAGAAGGTCCAGGGTCAGCAGGGCCCAGCAGGGGCCTGCCGAAGGAGGAGGCCATGTGGAGAGAGACCTCCTCCGTGCAGCAGCCACCTCTGCGGATTGGTGCAGGGGGACTGGGCTCCCCGAAGCCAGGATGAGGGGCGAAGGGAGGAAACAGGCAGAAGGGGACTCTGGGAGTCCGAGGGTCTCCTCTGGGGTGCGCTGAGTTTGCCCACAGAAGGAGCTGGGATCCCTGGTGCTCCGCACACTTGCCCTCAAGACAGAGAACCTGGCTAGCTGGCTGGGGCAGGGGGCTCAGTGTCCGATCGAGGGTCTCAGAGAACAGTGACACGGCAGGGTCAGCTGCTGGTGGGCATGCCACGCAGTTGGCCCTGATTACCGCTTAGATGTAGGGACCTGACCCACACAGGACACCCACTGGGGAACTCCACAGCATCCCTGCTCTGTGACAGCCCAGTGGCCTCTGGATCCTCCTGTCTTCCAGGAGCCCCCTTCTTCCCTGGCCCGGTCCTGTGACTCACATTCCCTCCTCCCCTCCCCACCTGTCCCCAAGCCGAGCTGCATGTGGGGTGGATGGGGTGACAGAGAGGGGCTCCTGGCTACCCTGGGCTTCAGCACCACACACCAGGTTCCCCCGGGCCTACAGCAAGCCATCCCGATCCAGCCGTGGCAGAGACCTGAGCTGTGCCTCGGGGTTTATCTACAGTGGATGAGAGAAAGGATGGAGAGACGTGAGGGAGGGGCCTCGAGTCCTGGCAGAATGCGCTGTCGGCACCCAGACAGCAACCCTGGGCCAACCCTGTCTGCACCCAAGCACCCAGCACCCAGGGCTGTGCCCCACCTCAAGCTGCAAAGGATGCCGAGGCCACAGAGCCTGAGCATGCAGGGGAGGGGACAGGCAATGTTAAAAACTCAAGCCTGGGGCGGGGGATTTAGCTCAGTGGCATAAGCACCTGCCTGGCAAGTGCAAGGTCCTGAGTTTGATCCTCAGTACCAAAAGAAAAAAAATACAGAAAAATAAGTCTGTTTTTGGGGGACCATTCTCTTCATCCCAGCACTCTGTCCAGGTGTCCCAGAGTCCTTTGAACAACAGCCTGGCTCTGTGCAGGAGGGGAGTCCCCAGGAGAAGCCACTCGCACCTGGGGCTCCCCAAGCCAGTGTGTGGCTCTGAGGCTCTGGGAGGGCCACAGGTGAACAAGCACGGACAGTGGCCTTCCAGAACGGTCGAAGGTCCCAAAGAGGGACCAGCCAAAGCCCAAGGCAAAGTGCAGCCGACTTCTGGTCCAGCCGTGAGCTGGGAGACGCTGTCACTCCTGCTCTGCGGCACAGCTTTGGAAATAAGACGACCTGGGACTGACTTGGCAGAGCACACAAGGCTACCAGGGCCCCGGCACGAGCTGCTCCTGACATCAGGTGAGCACACCGGGACCTGTGCACGCTGCGGGGCGGCTGGTCCACTCCAGGTCGGGCACAGAGGCCGCCTGGCAACTCTCCAGGCAGTGGGCGTCAGGCTCCCCACTCTCCACGCACACCTCCCTTGGTGAGTTACCTGCACACAATTAATTATGCAGCTACCCAGGTTGAGCTCCAAAGAACAACGACCAAGTTTTCACCACGGGGCCGGGGGTAAGAGCTGCCACCACGCAGAGTGCAAAGCGTGCCCTCCTGTCCTCTGACACCCCAAGTGACTGCCACATGTGGGAACAGCTTGGCCCCAAGTGACGCCTTACCATCTTCAAACCCGTGCTCGCCCCAACCCCAGGCATCCAGCACACGAGTACCCTTGACTGGCCCTGCCATCCCCCGCGAGCCGATGGCATCTGCAGTGCTGCTCTCGGGTCAAGCTGCAGGAAGAGGCGGTGGGAGGAGCTGCTGGTTCCTGCCTTCACCCCTGCTGGCCTTCAAAGAGCAGAACTGTGAGGCGGACACTGGCCAGGGTCAAGGGAGTCAATGCTTAGGCCAGGTGCACTGGGGACTGGAGGCCAGGTCTTACCCAACAGGGTCCTGGGCCCCTTAATGGCCTCTTTCCTGGAAGATGCTAGAAGTTATAGTATGAGAGAGAAAAGGATGAGGAGAGAGGGATTTAAGGCAGAGCTCAAAAAGAATTTCCAAGATGGAGGTCTGAGGCCAGACTATCCAAGGCCTCCTTAGAACCACTTTTCCTCAGCCCCCACTGCCACTGGCCACTTCAGCCATCATGGTGACATCCGGGCTACCAAAAGGCCTGACACAGCCATGCATGAGCAGGGCCCCTCCTGTGGGCCTGCTGTGTCCCCAGGCTTCCCATCCCATGGTTTCCGGGGCACATGTCCTGTGCCAGGCGCTGCCTGGAGTGATAAAGGTAGGAAGGAGGATCCCCTGCTCCAGAGGGCTCTGCAGGGCACAGATGCATAGAGGGACACTTACAACACCTGGAAATACCTCCAAGTTTCACTGTGCACCCACAACTGACTCTAAGGGAAGAAGCCATCCAAGAGGCGACATCCTCTCTAAGGCATCTGTAGTGACAGCACTGCTTCTGGCCATTCTGCTAAGTGCTTCAGGTCATTGTACCACTTCAGCCTCACACCGGCTTCTGTGATGCCCACGTGATTATTTTCATTTTGAGTCAGGGCTGCTGCTAAGTTGCCAGTTTGGGCTTGAAATGATGATCTCTCTGCCTCAGCCTCTCCAAGTACTGAGATGCCAGGTGTGCACCGCTATGCCCGGCCAACAGTGATCCCTTCTCAGCTGGGCCCTACAGCCTCATAAAGGAGGGGAACCCTTAAAGGAAAAATCCATTAACACAGAGACCACAGGTTGAATCATTTTGTTAATCTACTACTAGAAATAAAAAATTAAAAAGAAAAAGAGTTGGAGATGTAGCTCGGTCCAAATTCCTCAGTTCAATTTCCAGAAACCACCACCACCACCACCAGGAGTGGTGGAGCTTAGCTGTCAACTCAACACTCAGGAGGCTGAGGCAGGAGGATTGCACTAAGTTTGAGCCCTGCCAGAACTACATATGGAGATCCTGTCCCAAAAAATAAACAAAAAAAGGGGGATTACTGTTGTTATGGGTTTCTAGGCACCTCCAGATCCTGTTAGCTGGGTCCAGACAGCAATTTCTTTGAAAGAACAGTGGGCACCTCTCAGCCAACAAGGAGCAACAGGAAACATAAGGGATTAATGTGCTGCCTCATCACACACCTGTCTGCCGAGTTGCGCAGGGATGATGAAGAAATGGAGACGCAGGACGGGAAGACACCAGCCTCCCTCCCTCCGCGGTGGCACCAATTCCCGTGCCCTTCAAGGCTGAGGACACAGAGCTCCCGCACGTGTGCGGCACTTCGCAGCCTGCAAGCGCTCCTGTCCTTACAATCTCCAGGGCGCCTCGGTGCCATCGAGAGCCTGCTGTCTCCACTCCGAGATGCACCAACTGAGGCTCAAACACAAGCAGCGTACGGCCAGGCCTCGGGCCCTTCCGACTCTCTGCTTCTCAACCTAGCAGGGCCGCGGGACCCTGGGATTGAAGGTCTTGCTCAGGAACATTCCTGACGGGCTGTTCTGGGTCACATGCTCACCCGAGAGCCAATCAACACCAGGAGGCCTCTGATTGGCTGTTTTCAGTCACACGTTCATCTATGCGCCAATCAACACCAAGATGCTTGACTCTGTCCACCAATGACAGCTCCCATTGTAACTCCTACTGAGAATGATTTCCAGAGAGGCTCAGACTGCCCGAGAGACACGCCTGGAAGTCATGGAGATGCCACAGCCCAGTGAGCTACCTAACAGGGCAGATGTGGGACATGCCCTAGGTGGGCCTGTGCCCGGGAGTTTGTGTTCCCCGAAGTTCACACTAGAAACTGAACCCCCAGACTCATATCCTAATCGGATGTGGAGATGGGGTCTTTGCGAGGTGGCCAGGGTCCACTCAGGTTGCAAGGACAGAGTCTCTGGGATGCCATTAGTGGTTTTGTAAGAAGAGAAAGACATGAGGCTGGCACACTTGCTCTGTGTCACCATGTGATGTCCCCTGCCACACTGCAGAGGCTGAGCAGATGTAGGGACCATGCTCTTGGACTTTTTGGCCTCTAGAACTATGAGCCAAATAATTCCTATTATTCATAAATTACCGGGACTTAGGTATTTTATTACAGCAACAAAACAAGACAGCACGGCATTGGAAATGTGGGTAGAAGTTTTTCCAATACACAAGTTGGGTACAAAGGGCTTTGAGATGGCTTTTGGGGGAGATTCCCAATCCCTTGCTATTGGAGGACTGAGCTAGCAGAAGCCCATATGTATTTTTTTCCTCCTTTCTTTCCTTTTCTTATTTTATTATGGTTTATATCTAGGACACAGCCCCCCAGCTTCATGAGTGCATGGGCGGGGCTTTTCAGAGCTGACCGCATCCAGGGTGTGTGGCAGTGAGGTTAAGGGAACAGATGACCGAGGCCCCGCCCTGGGTGTGAAAAGTTGGCAGTTTGCATAGAAAAAAAGGGGAAAACAAGGCAGTCGCAACTGCTGCTGCTGCTTTTTGCTACCAAGACACGGACTCTCTCCTCGGCCATGCGGCTCCGCTTTAAACTGAATCTCCTACAACTGTGAGCTGAAACACACCTCCCCCCCTTTCACTTGGTATCAGGTATTTTGCCTCAGCAGCAAGAAAAGTAACAGGCTTTTTTTTCTTTTTTTTGAGACAGGGCCGCAGTCCGTAGTTCAGGCTGGCTTTGAACTCACTGTGTAGCCCCAACTCGTCTCACACTCATGGCAACCCTCCTGCCTCAGCCGTCCCAGGACCGGGACAGCAAGTTTACACCACCGTGCCTGGCTAGGAACCCGTTCTCAAAAGACTCCCCTGCACAGGCCATCTGGAGATCACAAAGCTGTTTATTTTTCACCTGTAGAAAAAGTGGGTACAGGGTGCACAGGAGCCCCGTCAGCCTTGGTGTGCACACTGGGCCCACACCCAGCCCAGTGGTCCATGTCTTTCCCACGAGAGTGTCCTGCCTGGTAGGAGCGGCTTCTGGGGAGATTGGGGTGGACCTGTGTGTGCTCCCATTCAGCAGCCCTGTACTTGGATATGTGTACCTGACTGGCAAAAAAAATATTAAAATAAGAAATTTCATGTAATCAGGGCAAGAACTGGCCTTTGCTTGGCATCTGGACGCCTGGCTGCCCCTCTGAAATTGTCTCTTTGCTTGGTCCCGTGGGTAAGGCCCACCTCACAGGCAGAAGGGAGTAACATTTAGCTTTTGCATTAAAAAATAAGCAAGGTTTTCAACCAAACAGCTGAGCAACTGAACGCATTATTTACACATCAGAGACGTGAGATGGATGGACCCTGGCTCAGTGTGTACCCCTGGCCTAACGCTACAAACCAATGCATGATGTGAAGCTGCAGACAGGTACAGAGCAGAGCTCCACTGCGGCAGGTGGACCTGGGGGTGCCCTTGGGGGCGCCCTCAGAACCAGTACTCAGAGACAAAGATGTGGACGTTGATGACGTTTCGGTGGGAGACCACACCCCCGACCACGTAGTTCATCTCCAGCTTTAGCACTGCGTGGAATGGGCCCACGATGGGCCGCACTTGGCGCACGACACCTGGGGAGAGAGCAGAAGAGGGGCAGAGGGTGAGCAAGGACCCGGCCATGTGGACATCGGGGACTGATTTCCCCCAGGCACCTCAGGGGCGGGAGCACATGGGGACTGACATGGTAGGGGCACGGCCTGGCCAGGTGCCTGAAACCCCAGCATACCACCTCCTTCCAAGTAGTCGCTCTGGGCTCTGCGCACACCTCTTGGGGACCGCTGAGGGGGAGCTCACGGCTTCCTGTCATCACGCAGTGTGCACAGCAGGGAAGCAGGGAGGGCTGCAGGGCCCAGGCCAGTGCCCAACCTCGCAAGGCCCGAGTTTCTGCTGTGCTGCCCACTACGTGGCAGGAGACCTGGCACGGAGCAGATGCTCTGTAGATCCCTGCCAGGCCTTACACCTCCCCAGGGATAAGTGAAGCCGTGATCCTTCCTCGTGGGAGCTAAGGATCGCAGGGGTCCTGGATTCCTTCTCCAAGCCGGGTGGCCCTGATTCCCTGTAGGCACATCCTGTGCCTTCTGCCGGTGCCCAGCACAGCACCTGGCATAGCATTGGCTCCAGTGTGTGCAGCTGACCTCCCTGCTCAGAGATTCACCCTCAGTAGGCACCAGGACCCATCCATAGTGTCACAGGGACAACTGATGGAGCCCTGGTTTCAAAGCTGGTGGTGCTGAGGATCAAGGATCCCAGGCCAATCTCTGCAAGTGGGACTCACCCATCCACCAATCAGCTGATCCATTCATCTGCCCATCCACCAATCAACTCACCCATCCACCCACCAATCAACTCATCCACTCATCTACCCACCCACCAATCAACTGAGACATTCATCTACCCACCAATCAATTTGTCCATCCAGTCACTCAACTAATTGACTCATCCATCCGTTTTTCCATCTTCCCGTCCATTTACCCAGTAGAGGCTACACTGCACAGGTAGCTTTAAGAGAGATTCTAAGAGGAAAGGATAAGTTGGCCCAAGAAAGCAAGGATACGTGCAAAGCCCAGAGGCGTGAGAGTTCAGACAGGCAGGGGGTGATGGGTGGTAAAGGCTGCCCAGGGACCTCACCTCGTGGGCCTCGTGGAAATGGGGCCTGTGTGGCTTTCTCCCCACGCCGGGCTCCACACCCCTCTTATCTTTTGCTAATTTCCCACTGCAGGAAAGCAGGGGAGGAGAGGAGGCAGGAAGCATTCACCCAGATGGGTTTGACAGACGCTGCAAAGCCCACCGAGGGTCCACCCCATCCACCCACTTGACCCTGTGGTATGTGCTTGGCCCCTTCAGGTACAGGCCCGGGGGCCAGCTGGACGCCGAGGCATGCAGTCTTCCCCAGGTTTCGTTTTGACGCAATCACATGGTGCCTGGTCTTCGGGCTGCAACGCTGCCCCGTGTCCGCAGCAGCCTCCCGTTTGGGTCTGCACTACACTCGTGTCTGTCTCCTTGTGCTCCGCCAGGCCGTGGGCGGACAGGTGGCAGGCGTTCAGCTGTGATTCCTGGATGGGCAGAAGACAAAGCTCTGTCCTGAAGGGAAGGGGAGCCACAGAAGGCCAGAATGGGGGCAGGACAAAGATGGGAGCATTCCCGCCACGGCTGGCTGGGGCGTTCACCTTCCCATCTTTCCGAGGGCTCCAGGGGACAGAGGACACACTTAGGCTGTGTTAATCTTCCGGGTCCTTGACCTTGGCATTTCTGCTCGGGGTCCAGACACGGCTGGTGTTCCTCGGCATGCCTATGCCGATTACAGATGCAATTAAGCCTTTTCTCCGCTTTGAAAAATGCAGGTCCCCTCGGGTGTGCTCTTCATGTCTCGGCTCTGGTTTGAAACTGCAGCTGATGCGCTGAGGATTCGGGGTCCTGAGTGCGAAGCCTGCCGCTCCCTCCTGGAGGAGAAAATGCTGACGCCTGGCGTCTGCGGTTCCCACATCTAGCCCTAAAGCCGCCACTCGCTTCTACCACTTGAGTGCAAGACGGTAAAAACCAGCTCGAGACGCTGATCTGCAGAGGCCAGGCCCTGAGAAGAGAACGCGGACCTGCTCCATCTGAACCCGCATGAGGAGCCTTCTCTCGGCCCAGAGCACCGTCTTGCCTGCAGCTCCTGTATCCCTGGTTCTCAGGATGTGTGTGTAGGTCTTTAGGCCGAGGCTCAGTGTGACACACTCCATGCGTGGTTGGTGCATGAATGGATGAACTAAAGATTCCAGGAAGAAGCAGTTTGTAAAGCTGAAAATGATTGCACATGAATGGAAGGCCGGGCAACCACAGCCGACGGCCAAAGCCGGTGAGACTTCAGATGCTGACCTCTCGGAAGGAGAACAGGCCACAAAAGAAGGCCAGGCCTCGGGGTCCTGACTTGGTGGCCACTCTGGGCCACCAGCTGTGGGAGGGAGCGAGGTGAAGTGGGACGAGGGGCTCAGAGGGCCCCACGAGTTCTCGTCTGTCACACACATGGCCGGCACTGGAGAGAAGTCAACAGCGAAGGTCCCACAGCGGGGCAGGAGAGTCCTGAGCAGGCCACATCCACCAAGGCAAGGGGCAAGGTCACGGCGGAGAAGGGATGCCGAGCCCGGGTTGAGAGGACACCTTTTCTGAAGTGCCCGGGACAGTGCTCCGGGTCTGGGCATATTTGCACTTACATGAGCAGCTGTATTGCAGACAGCGCCAGGTGAACAGGAAATTCATTTAGGCTCCCAGCACCTGCGCACATGGCCTGGAGGTAATTTCTCTCCTGTTTTTCATGATTTTGTGCATGAAGCGAAGTTTCACGGTGTGGGATTTCCCACTCGTGTGCCCTCCATATTTAAAAACTTTACAATCTTGGAGCATCTGGGGTGTTTGGATTCTGGATCAGGGCTGCTCGTCTTGACCCCTCAAAGCAACACACTAGGGTGGAGATGGGCTGCGCTGCCCGGGGAAGGGGCCGAGGCTGAAGGCCCGCCCTGCGTGCTCCGTCTCACATGCTCCCCACGCCACGCACCCTCATTCCCTCGCAGAGAATAGCACGTCTTGTGTGTCAAGCTAACAGGGTGGTGGACCCCACTCCAGCGGGGACTGACCTTCTACTTGCTGTCACCTCTGTGTGTGACGTGTCAGGAAAGACACTTCCAGAACGCACAGCCCTGAGCCGACTCACAAACCCACAGCAATACAGCAGGAAGGAGCCGAGAACCCGAGTAATCACGGCTGAAGGACGCGCTCTGGACCTCTGCCTGCCCGAGAAGTGGCTGGGAAGGAAGGAGGTGTCCAGGCTGCGTGCTTAAAATACCAAGTGTCACTCAACACATCGCAGCACAACTCAGCGCCCAGGTTTCTTGATTATTATACTTTCCCCACCCCAGGCCTCCCGGGAGGCCGTGCAGACGCTTCGGAGGGGACAGCTGCCCCCAGCCCAGTGCAAACGCAGCAGTGCCCATGGCTCTGGCAGCTCCCACGCCCTCCACCCCTTTCATGCTCACCAGCCAGGGGGAGGAGACGGGGCCACAGTGGAGGGGGCTGAGCTGGGCAGCACTGGGCCGGGCCCGGGTGTGAGAGTCCAGGCAGGGGAGTTGGGCGCCTTCATCTTCCCCCTGGGGTCGCACAGAGGCGTGAAGAGATGTCCCCTTTCTTTCTGTCCTGAGCAGCACCAAGAACGGGTCCTTTCACGAGGACAGGAAACACCTCCGCTGGCCGAAGCAAGGCCAGCTCCTCCAGCGTCCCTCTTCCCAGCTGGTGTCCCACAGGGGCGCTTCTGGCACAGGCAAGGGACACAGAACCCACAGCCATCCACCACGGCTTAGTAGGTGCCTACTTTGCGGACTGTGCGCACACTGGCGTAGGACACAGAGGCGACAACTCTGAGACGTCAGGATTGGACCAGGCTGGGCACCAAACTCCAGCCACTCCAGGTCACCCAGGACGGTCACACCGGCAGGAACTCAGGTCTGGTCCCTGTGTGCCACGCAGCAGGCTCCTAAGTCACAGCACTGCCCTGAACCCCGCCCCCATGCCTCAGTTTCCTCCCTGGCAAGCCTCCTGGGGGGTTGGCACCAGACCCCCACCCTGCTTCTACTGCTGTTTGGCTGAAGCACTTTGTTTAAAAACAAGAATAACTTAGGAAGGTGGCTGGTGATATCAAAGGCTTTGCAAAGGTGCCTCACCGCAGCAGGAGCGGCCAGCAAGTCACCCTGAGGGACAGGGACCATCCAGGAGGAGCTCAGGAGCCCCGGGGAGCCCCCGGAGTCATAAGTTGGGGGCTGGTCCTGCAGCTGGTTCTGGGGAGCAGTCAGACGGGCTTGGTGACCTGCTAGTGGGTACCTGGTCATGCGTGTGTGCGTGGAGAAACAGACCCAGGAGAACAGCATCCTGCAGTGCTTTTCCCCACCTGCTACCTCGGAAACGGGTCACCCAGTCAGCGGCAGCTCGGCCTCGGGAGACCTCCGTGTCCTCCCAGCCTGACAGCATCAGCGCAGCTGCCCTGTGCCAGACGCTGTGTCCTCTGGGCTTCCAGCTCCCCCGGCCCCTCTGCGGCCAGCTCCTCCCGTCTCCCGGACTGCTCTCCTGGCCCCGTCCTCTCTCCGGGTGAGCACTGTGGGACTTCCACTGTGTGGAAGCGTCTCAGCCTCACCCAGGCCAGCCAGCATCTGCGTGGCGCCTCCCAGGCTCAAAGCGGCCTCACCCCCTCCTCCAAACCTTCCCCTGGCACCTCTCCCTGTCTCGGCCTCCTGGCTACCTGTGCCTGCACATCTGACCATGAGCAGAACCCACCACCACGTCCCTCCGTTCCCGACTCTTTCTCCTGGTCCTGCCTGGGCTAAGCCAGTGTCATCCCGGCCTGGGTGCCCATTGTCACCACTCATCCAGCTTGGCCCCTACAAGCACCAGGGCAATTCACTCCTTGTCTTGAAACTTTTCCTGGCTCCCACCTGCTGCCCAGTGGAAAAGCCAGAGGCAGAGGTGTGGAATTTCAATGGCGTTAAGACCCTAACCCTCACTACTCCCTCCCTGCCCCAGGGCCTTTGCATGTGCTGTCCCTGCA